CTCCTCTGCCTGACTCGGTTTACCTTCTTCGGCCTGGGCCACTGCACTCTTGTCTGTCAGGCTGACAGCAGCCTCCTCTGCCTGGACCACTGTAGTTTCTTCCGCTGGGCCCAGCGTAATTTCTCCTGATGTCTTCTCTTGGGAAGCACTCCGCCTACTTCCGTCATCTTCCCCCCTTGGAACACTTTCTTGGATGGCGCCACTGGGTGCTTCCACGCTGCGCTGATACACGGTTGCTGGTGAGGCAGGGGCGTCAGAGGCCACGGGACGAGGGCTGCCTGCTTCCGAACTCTCAAGTGGACTTGCTTGCTGCGCTTGTACGCTTTGCTTTTCCGTGCTCACTCTCGGTTCCTTTTCCAGCACGGGAGTGCCCATCTGAACCGCCGAAGACTCATTTTCTAACTCCAGGTCCACGGAAACCACGTTCCCTCTGGATGTGAGACTGTTGCTCACCCGTGATTCTTGGGCCTCCTTACCATCTTCCACCAACACACCTTCCTGCCGGCCCTGTGTGGACTTAGCCTGGCCAGCTGACTGGGTCTGGGCTTTTGTCTCCAAATCGTCAGCCCCTCCCTGGACTCTGCTGTTGTAGTCTGAGTCTTCCGTGAGTTTAGCGTGATGACGTCTCTTGGCCCCCCTTGAGAATCTTATGCAAGGAATCCCAAGTCTGGATTTTGCCTTCTTCTTAGGAAGAGCCACGTCCTCAGGCTGCACGTCGGCCTCCGATGGCTTCTGCTTCTTCGAAGACTCTGACCTTTTCCCGTGTGTCACGAGGCGTTTGACGGAGGCCCAGGCCCCCGCTGGCTGTGGCTGAGCGGGGTCCCCGGCTTCAGGGGGGCGCTTCTTTGTGACCTCGGCAGTCTTGGAGCCAGCTTTAGGCTGCGTCCTGTTGGCTTTCTTCCTTCTCTTGAAGCAAAGCGTGCCTGTTTTTCCCTCCTGCCTCTCTTCCTGAGGACTAACGGCTGCTGGCGCCTTCTCCTCCTTGGTTTCTATCTGAATCTCAGAAACTCTGCTCTCCATTTTCACACTGCACTCTTTCATTCTCGGAAAGGTCTCCTCTCTCTTCCTCTTGAAGCCTTTGGGGACGAATATATCGCACCAAGTCCGGTTTCTCCTGGGGGTTCGCCCTGCTCTCGCTCCACAGCTGTGTCTATGGCTTCTTCAGGACACAAATGCCTTGTTCATCTGTTGCTTATGATTTCTTCCTTTAATTTCCTCTTCGAATTGAAGCTCTTTCCTGGATAAAATTCTCCTTTATTCAAAGACCAACCTGATAAGAGAAAAGAGTGAGGTTTTATTTCACCACAAGCCTTTTATTTTTAATATAAACTGCATCATATGGGGCGTATGCTCCACAGGACATACAAAAACAACTATGGCTACACAGGGAGGCTTGCTTTACCCTAGCAAAAAAGATCCCAGTGAGAACCCATTTTGTTCTATTTTTTTTTTTTTTTTTTTTTTTTTTTTTTTTTTTTTTTTTTTTTTTTTGCTAAGGCTTCGTCTGTGGTCACTCTGCAAGTGTGCCCTTGCTCTTGGTCGCCTCCTCCATGAGTTGTTTATGGCCCCACACAGAAAGTTTGGCAAACAACAACAAACAGCAGAGGACAGGTGACCGGCCAGCTGGACTACTTTCTCATCACATACAGTGAAGAACCGCGACAAGGTGAGGGCCTTAGGAGATGACTCCTGAGCTCCCAAGTGGGCGCCCGGGTGGGCTCGCAGAAAGCCTTGGGCTAGATGAGGTCCCAGCCAGAGCCAGAAGTAGAGATTCTGACTCTCTGGTGTTCTTCCTATTGTAGCATACGGTTTCTGTTCTAAAAATTCCATCCAGGGGGTGCTGCTTTCCATACACACTCTCAGAAAAACCCAGCGTCGCCGTCGGTCTCCCGTCTCAAAGTCGTTGCGTAACTTTGACATTTTCACCGGAGTGTCTGCTACTCATCCTTCCCCACTGTAACTGCACACAGCTGGAGGGAAGTCGGTGCTGGGACCAGCCAGCCCTGGTTGGTTGTGCAACCCTCGTGTGCGAGGCAGTACCCCCGAGCACTTTCACATCCGTCTCTAACCTGCACCACAGCATCCCGGAGTGAGGAGGTGGTGAGATCTCCATCTGCACTTAAAGCAGCCTGCCTGAGATTACAAAGCTAGCCAGCCCCGGGTGCTCAGATTTAACCAGACACTGCCTGTGTCTGAAGCCCGTGCTCTGGATGCCGTGAGAAAGTGAATTGCTCTCACACCTTCATCGGGGGCTGGTTGTGGGGGTACAGGACTGCGATTCCAGCAGGTGGGAGGGAGGTGGAGGCAGGAGAATCACCCAAGGTCATCTGCAGCTATCTAGGGTGGCTGGAGTCAGCACTGGCTACATGAGACCCTGTCTCAAGAGAGGAAAAAAAAAAAAGAGTAAAACTCAGCTTTGGGTCTGTGCAGATAGCTCAGTGATAGAGCACTGGCCTAGCATGCCACAGGGTCCTGGACTTGATCCCCAGTGCCACCAAAAAATAACAATCTACAGAATGGAACAGCTTACAGAATGGGGGCATAGGATGATTCCCGACAGCTTTGTGGATTTTAGTTGATAGGTGTCCTAAGTTAGGCAAATTATTCTGCTTGCATGTAAATCCTTCACTGTGCTTCCATTTGGGTACCAGCTCCTAATTCTCTGTAGAATTGGAACCCTGAAAAATCATTTTAAGATCTAAGGGGATTTTTTTTAGGGTAGGTATTACACGTTTCATGTTTCTACACAGACACATAAATTCTAGACTAATGATGGAACCAAAAAACACAGTCTCTCCTCACACACCCTTGATAAGCACTAGAACCAAGTCTTAATGGCTCTAAGCCCGAGCGAGCATTCCTTCTAAGCAGAGGATGTATCGTTAGAAGAAATAGTCAAATGCGATCGTATTCCGGAAAGTATCTGAAGCTAACCCGAATGGCCCAGATGCTTGCACGAGAGGGCTTCTTTGAATGTACATCACCGTAGAAATCAACACCCCAACAAGTGTAGCCGAGGCGGAGAAAGGATGGAGCCAGCAGGCGTTAAAACTTTGCAGAGTGTAAAGACTGCAAATGGTTCGCCTTTACCTTCGAGAGGAGCTCCATTGCCTTGGAAACCCTAACGTCCCTGCTGTCCTTCGCTGGCAGAATCTCATGTCTAAGGCCAAAGAATACAACCACCTCCCTTTCCCCCTCTTGAGCAGCAAAGAGCAATCACTATCCAAGCAGAGCAAGGACCTTTCCCAGAACCAGAAACGAACCGCGAAGCTTCCTCCTTGGAGGAAGGACTCTATCCAGGCTTGACGCCCCTGTGGCAGGAGACAGGGCTCAGAAAGGAAAATACCGGGGGCGTGGAACAGATAGCCCAGCTTCAAGCTATCTGCAGAATTATCATAGACCGGAGCCGAAAATCACAGTTCCCCAGAAAGCCTTGAAGAAGGATAAGGGTTAGGTAGCCGGTGCCAAGGCACCAGCTGCACCGCGTGCGAAGCGAGCGGGTGGCAGAACTGCCCAGGGTCACCCACCTGGAGACGCCTGAGGACCAGCGACCTTGCAGTCCGCGCCCCTCGCTGTCTGGTGACCCGGGGTCGCCGTCACCTTCCCACCAGGGGCTCAGTACACCCGATCCTGACCCAGAGCCTCTGGTTCTGCCTCCACTTACCCAGAGCGTCGCGGTCTCGGGCCAGCCCTGCTCCCGAGGTCGGGGTGCACGGGCCCAAACAACGAGGAGCTCCGGAGGCCGCGGAGCGCGCAGCCCTCTGCAGAGGGACCGCAGCCGCGCGCCCCCTCCCCAATGCGGAGAGAGACAGCTGGCCGCGCCAATGCGAGTGGAGCAGCGGGGCGGGGCTAGGGCCAGGGGCGGGGCGAACTCAGCAAGCCACCTGCCAGCAGACTGCCCCGCCGCCTGGGAGAGACCTTGGTGCTCCCGCCCCGCACGCATCCCCGCTGCATAATGACATCAGGGTCTGGGTAGAGGGGCCAGCAAGGCAGAGCAGAAGGACCGCGAGAAGAGGGTGGAGGGCCCCTCATTTCCTGAGACGTACAGCTGCAAAAGACCCTGTTTGAAATGATAAGGCGCCCACCATAAATTCCCCTCGAACATTAAAAACAAGGTAGACAGCATATCTTCCAAGAAAGATTGATGGGGTTGGAAAGATGGCTCAGCGGTGAGCAGCACGTATTTCCTCTTCCAGAGGATGCGAGTTCGATCCCCAGCATCCAAATCAGGCGGCTCGGAACCACCTGTAACCAACGCTACAGAGATATCTTACTTCTGTGGGCAAAATACTCACGTGCACACGACTGCCCTCCCCCCCCCCTAATTAAAAATAAAATTAAAAAGTAAGATTTATAACTGTACAGTCAGAAGGGGTCATCTGGAAAAAAATTACTTTGAGACTGAGTTTTACTGAAGCTCCAGCAGACCTGGAACTCTAAACTATGTAGACCAGGATGGCACCCAACTCACAGAGATCCACCCACCTCTGCCTCGGGAACCACACCTGGCTAGAGAGAAGGTTATGTATTTGGTCAAAAACAGAAACAAAAACAACTTTGTCAGACTGCAGAGGCCAAGCTGAGATCAGCTAAACGGATGTGGTCATCCACGTTGACAGAGGAGCGCACTTTAGAACATGGCCCATCTAACATCTCACATCAGAATCGCAGGTCATTACTGCTTCCTTTAGGACATTCCCCGGGGACTGCTCACTTGGTTCCTCTAAAGCGAGGACGGAGATAAGGGCACTAGACATTCCAGCGCCATTCGGAGCAAAGGGTGCTGGCATAGTCCACACCAGGGCGGAAAGGTGTCATGTCGGGTGAAAAGCAGCTTCCACAGCTCAGGACCAGTGGCTTTGGGGTGTTTTCAAGAGCTTCAGCTAAGGTCCTTGAAATGACATCCCAGTCTCCCCCAGGCTTTCCCTAGCACAGAGCTCAGGAACCCCAGTAGTGTGGAAGAACAAGACCCCTACCCTTTCCTGAGTGGACCATGATCTCTAGAAAGGTTAATCTCGGAGTCCACTTGGGGATGGTTTTTCTAGGAATATATTTTCCCTCCCTAAGATTTCTAGTTTAGACTTACTCCACCAAGATAAGGAATGAACTCTTGGGACACAAAGCTGATATGATTCTAAGTTTGTAGATTAAAAGTTAGTGATAAAACTGTGAAATTGGACATCCAGATTCAGTCAAAGCAATCAAACAGTTCAAAGGAGGGAGCTGCAGAGATGCTCAGAGGTTAAGAGCTCTTCCTGATCGGCAGAGGACCAGAGTTCAATTCCCAGCACATTTTAGATCACTCAGGACTACCTTTAACTCCAGCTCCAGGGGATCCTCCATCCTCTTCTGGCCTCTGCAGGCACTGGCGGTGGGCGACACATACACACACACACACACACACACACACACACACACGCACGCACGCACGCACGCACGCACGCACGCACGCGCACACACACACACA